GGAATTCAAACACCATCTTTAAATTTCAAGGGTTGTCCTATACAGAACTCTCTGAGTCTAAGAGATAGAATCAGGGGACATCAGAAGATAGAAGGAAACAAATCTCACATTAATACAGGAAAGAATTTAAGTCTACTGTCCACAAGGGAATAGACTAGCTCAGGGATTGGTGGGCTCACCATCTAATGGCCAGTGTTTATGGCAGAGGGGAGGCTAGCATCTAATGACTGGGAAGTAGGGGTGAGGGAGAGAAGGATTGAATGTAATTGACCTGCATTGCCCTCCAGTTCTGTTTAATCAGTTGGGAAAGGCACAGCATATTATTAATACCTTCCTAATTGTGATTAGCATGCTAAAGACAAGTAGCTAATAGACTGGGATCTGACATTTGCCAAAGCTAACCCACTGAAGTTGACCAAACCTAAAATCCTGTAAGGGAGGATTGAGACGGTTCAGATCTCTGCAGCTCTCCTTTACCAAGAGAGAACAGAATGATGAAAAAGCTACAGCTCTGTATTCACACAGACCTGGGATCAAACTTTAGTTCAGCCACTTGCTATGTGATCCAGAACAAACAGTACTTAAGCTCATTGAGTTTCAGTTTTCTCATCTGTGAAATAAATATGATAAATCGTGTCTCTTGGGATAGTTTGAAGATTATGTGAGCTAATACCTATAAAGTAATAGTATGTCTGGTACTTTGTTGATATTCAATAAACAGTAGTTTTTACGGATCTAATGATGATTTCTTTGGTCTGTCTCCCCAGCGAGTGGCATTAAGCCTTGAAGATGATGGACTACCCTGAGGATGGGACCACCCGCTTCGTGCCTCATGGAATTCAGTCCCACGCACTACACTCTCTGGATGGTGAATGACTGGATGAATGGGTTTTTATATATGGGTCTGTGTGAGTGTGTGTGTGTGTAAATTTTTATTTTAATTTATGTTGCAGAAAGGTAACCACAAAGTTATGATGAACTGCAAACATCCAAAGGATGTGAGAGTTTTTATATGTATAATGTTTTATACACTTTTTAACTGGTTGCACTACCCATGAGGAATTCATGGAACGGCTACTGCTGAGTGACTAACATGATGTACATAACCAAATGGGGGCCGATGGTACAGTACCTTACTCATCATGTAGAAACTATATTTACAGAGGATGTTTGATTTGGGGGGGCTGTTTTTAGGTTTAGGGGTTTTGTTTTTTGTAAATAAGATGATTATGCTTTGTGGCTATCCATCAACATAAGTGAAAAAAGAAAAACCACTTCAACTCCCTCCACCATTTAGATTATTTATTAACATATTTCAAAAATAAGATTAGTTCTATAAGTAATTTAGAGAAGTGAGAGTATTTATTTTTTGTATGATTGGCCCACCATGCAGACTGTGTGTGTGTACATGACTGTGTGTTTCTATGTGTATGTGTGTGACAGAGAAAAATCTATAGAGAAGAGGCACACCTATGGCTATTGTTCAAATACGTAAAGATAAATTTATTTTAAAGCAGTCCACAAGAGGGGTATCCATAGTTTTCAGAGACGACTTACGAAATTAGACTCAGAAAACATACCGTGGTTTGTGCAAACATGTAGAGGAAGAGGCAGATCTTTCCACCTCTGGTTGTTCCTGAGACTCCAATAGGTCAGGAAAAGCCATGGCTGCTGTGACTTCCACCTGGGCTTTCTTGGCTGTGGCTAAGGTTAGTGTACAGACATTACACAGTGCCAGAGTTCTCAGAAGCTCGAGACAGAACAGGCCTAAACCTCAGCTACTCTTTGTCTTAAAGTTCAGCTCTTCGAGTAACTTCTTCGATTTCTTTCAGGACATTTGGGTTAAATTCAGGAAGTTTCCTCTGAAATACCTAGAAGGGTGCCATCCTTACTTACAGAGCTAAGTGGAGATGTTTCCAGAATGGCCCAAATTTACTATAGAGACTGGCCCAGGCACTGAACCTCTGAGACATGCTGTGGATGAGGCTAAGGATGGTGGAGTAGATTTTATTACATCTCTTATTTTTCCCTTCCCCTTACTCTCTACCATTTCCTTTAGGTCAGGAAAACATTTTAAAGTAATAAATAGGTTTCTTACCATCATACATTCATGTAGATGAAACTAATTTTTCGCTTAAATCAGAAAAACTAGCCAAACCTGAAGTCATATTTGAGGGGGGAAATGGCATACGCACTATAGTAATATTGGATATATATGTTCGCACAGGAATTTGGTTTACTACTTTGTAAATAAAAGGAAAAACTCTGGGTATATGTATAGATTTTTTTATTATGGACACCTTCTTTGCTTTTCCTGGGCTTTGGGGAGATGGGGAAAATGTGGGGGTCTACCATTGGAAGCATAATCCTACAGTCCCAGAAGGAATTTAATCCCCAATGGCTTTCTTATCCAAAGTGTGGCATATTCTTAACTCTTGCTGCTTTGCTATTTCACTCCCACTAGGCAACCAGGGACAGGTATGACACGAAAGTGTTTGGCTTAAGTAGGAGCAGAAGACATGTATCTAACTTTAACATACCTGGAACTTGACACAAAAATGCTCCCCACCCTCATTCTCCAAATGCCCCAACTCAATGAAGCTTGTATGTCTCACCAGCTTGATACTCTTTCAATTTCTGGGCATACGATCTGGAGTTCTAACATCCTGTTCCCAGGACCTTTATGTCACTCATGGTCTCCTAACCTCTAAGAAAAAAACTGTGTTCAGAGCTTGGGCACTGTGTTTTGCATAAGCCAACAATTTTCTCACGATATGCATGTGTCGATAGTCCTGACACATTCATTGTGAGGGTAAACGCTGTTGACCTAGAATGACCAATACTAAACAGAATTTTAAGAACAGGCAGCCAACTCCTGTGGAGCTTAATCATTTACTACTATTCTTTCAAGAATGGAAAGTAAAATTATTTTTGACTGAAGAAAAATGTTGACAGTGAAAAACATTGAAATTTACACAACACAAGTGACTTTTTCTGTAACCTTTCTCCGAAGAAATTGAATTTCCCAGGGAATTAAATGATAACAGTGGCTAATGCATATTTTCTAAACTTTCAGTCAGATCCTGACCTTCACAGAGAAAAACAATGAATGGGGTCTGGACATATAGCCTGAGATCTCAAAATGATGATGAAATCCACAGCTTTCTCAGAAATATCCATGTGTCCTGAATATACTTCAACTGCAGTTTGAAAGAGGCAGCTATGGGAGCAACCTACAAGAAACAAATTGTGAAACACGTGTTGGATGGCACAAAATAAAATGAAATCTGAGGAGTCAGATCCACCTTCCCCTTATTCTTGGAGGCTTTTGAGCCTTGTTTTGAGCTATATTTCTGTTGCCTTTTACCCCCTACACATATGTATCTAAGCCCATAACAAGTCATAGAGTCATTGGACTATAGAGCCGGAAGGAAGCTTAGAGATAATGCCAAGAGGGCAGAAAATGTATCAGACAATATTTTCTTTATTTAAAAGAAGCCAGTCCCAGTCCTGTCCCTCCCTTACCTTCTCTAGGAGACTACTTGGAGCTGCCTGGACATTGTATTCAACTTACTACCTATCCTATGGCCTATCTTTCCAGTGGCATTATAAAGGCACTGGCTGAAGTGGCCTTCCAGAAACAGGGAAAACTGAAACTTTATTTACTCTAGATAGCATGATTATTTATAAAACAGATTGAAGTAACCTGTAACCTCAATGGCAAAAAGAGAATGAGATCAGATTGAAATTTATGGCAATAAGTACTATTGATCCTTGCAGTTTTCTCTATGTGATTGTAGTATATTCATTCACTAAACCCATTCACTGGGTGCCAGGCATTGCAGATGTAAAGGTCAATCACTTTTTCTGTCTTTATAGAGCTCACAGTAGCAGTAGAGGAAGATATAAGTGGAAATAAAAAGGAATAGATTCTATTCAGAGTATAGTTAGGGCACAAAGGAGAAGAGGGGTCATTCTATTTGAGGAGATGAGGAATAGGGTCATCACAGGAGAAGTGACCTTAAGCTAAGTCTTAAAAATTAAGAAGGGAGTCCAAGCTGCTTCAGGCAGAAGAAACACTGAGCTAAGACACAGAAGCATGAAACAGCATAGGGATTTAAGGACCTGCGCATAGTCCATGGTAGCAGGAACAAAAGGCTCGATGGGCATATAGCAAGAAATGAGGCTAGATGGGAAGACAGGTTCAATGTAAGCACTTTATAAAATACTTACATTTAATTTCCGATTCAATTAAGCAAGCATTTCTTGGTCACTTACTGCATACAAGGCACTAAGCGTATCATGGAAAATTGATCAGGATGTGTGTGCCAGCACTTTGCAGACATGACATTCAGCCTCAAGCTTTGCAGTGACCAAAGGGAAATGTTGACTGCGTCAAAGATTTTTGATATGGTCAATGAAAACTCATATAAAGGCAGTGGGATTTTCACAGAAACATTCCGTGTTGTCAATAGCCTCTTAGATTTTCTCAACTGTGAGAAAGAAAACTGGAAATCTGGAAGACGTGGAGTCTGGAGCGGGGATCCAAATCACCGTCCAGGCAGGTGCTGGTGGGAATGGGGAGGGCACAGGAATGCGAGCCTCTCCACCCGTACTCCAGCCGTGCACTCGTCACCTCACAGAATATAAATGAGTTAGCATTAAAAGTTTCAGAGTAAATGATTTCCTTTTCCATAAATGCATGAAGATAGAGTATCAGAGCCTTCTCACTGTATTTTTAGGGTATTGGGTGTTTCAGAATAGGGAGAATTTAGAAGATGGAGGAGTTATGGCTTCAAATTTTTAGTTAGTATAAAAAATCAGGAAGCTCTGTTCATTCAGGCTATGCACCATGTGCACAGTCAAGAATCAGCAGAAACCCTCTGCATTTACAAACACTTTGTGCTATAAAAAGTAACTTTTAAAAAGCCACCTATATAAATATATATTTAAAGACAAGGTTTTGATACTTTTTTATAAAAACTACAAGAGAAAACAAATACCTGTACAAACCGTGTACTTTTAAAGTAGCACTTTGTTCTATACAAACTGTTGTTAATTTGGGGGTAAAGTACTGGTTTGCAAACTCCATCACATTGTACCCAAATGGATTTTCCTTGTTTGTCTTCACCCCACCCGCCCCCAGATTACTGTATTTGATGTAACAGTCAGGCATGTTAGAATGTTGTGTCACACTAACTGGTTCTACTCTTCTTGTCTTGTCATTCGAGTTCCGTTAGCTTCTGTACTCGGTGCCTTTGCAGTCTGGTTTCTCTTCCAGAGGCAAAGGGGCTGAAGGTGATGTGTTGCATCTCACTAGCTGTACTGACATCATATTGGTAAACTGAAAACCAAATGTGGACATTTGTAAAATCAGTGCACTGTTTCTAGAGAGAGATTAAATTCATATTTTAAAATCATTAAGTATTGTTTCATTGTGATGCTTTAATGAGGGAGAGAGTGAATTATCACTAATTGAGTCCCTAATGTGTGCCAGATATTCTACATAAATTATCTTAAGCTTTGTCAACAATCCTATGAGAGAAATACTATCTATATTATCCATTCCCGTTTTATAGATGAGGAAATGGGTGAAGTAACTGCCCAGAGTCACAGTTATTTTTAGTACTCCCAAAGAGCAATTGCACATGTATTAATAGCATTCTCTGCCTAAATTTTCCTTCTCTGCCTCTACCTGGCTAACTCCTGTTAATCCTTGAGTACTCCACTTGGGTAATGCCTCCTCCAGGAAGCCTTCCCTATTCTCTCAGTCTGGGTTAGGTAATTCACCTCTGGGCTTCCATAAAAATTTTTGCTTACTTGTATCCCAATACCTCTGCCCTGCCACTCACTCCCATGCCATTGGGGTTGCGATTACCAAGGTCATCCAGGACTTCCTTGGTTATAAAACTTGTAAACACTCTCAGACCTTATCTTCCTTGACCCAGAAACAGTATTTAATGCTGTTGGCCACTCCTTTCTTGGCATACTCTTATTTTGGATTCCCTGATATCATACTCCTGGTTTTTCTCCTACCTCTCTGGCCACATCTTAGTCTCATTTGCCCACCCCTTAAAATATGGTATTCCATCTCAAATCCATCTACTTTTCTATCACCATTGCCACTACCTGAGTACAGGTGATCATCATCTTGGATTAACACCATCTTAGATTATTTTAACAACTACTTATTCAAATATCATACTTCTAGTCTTTCCATTTTCCAATCCAACCTACAACACTGCAGCCAAAGTGATCTTTCTAAAGTGCAATAAGTGATGTCACCACCACCTCTTTCCACTTTCCTGTTTAAAGCCCTTCAACTGGCATTAAAACCCAATATTTTGGGGTTTGCCCAACTCTTTAAGGTGGCTTGTAAGGTCCTTTGTGATTTGGCTTCTGCCCCTTCTCCAACCTCATCACTCACTAATCTAGGGGTGGGGAACCTGCGGCCTTAAGGCCACATGTGGCCTTCTAGGTCCTTAAGTGCTGCCTTTCAACTGAATCCAAATTTTACAGAACAAATCCTTTTATTTTTATGAATACATTTTTGTTCATCTTTTATATTTTTATTTCATTTTTAAAATGAACGTATTTAAAATACCAAAGAATAGGCCAGGTGTGGTGGCTCACGCCTGTAATCTTAGCACTCTGGGAGGCCAAGACAGGAGGATTGCTTGAGCTCAGGATTTCAAGACCACCCTGAACAAGAGTGAGACCCATCCCTCATTCTTATAAAAATTATAGCCGGGTGTTGTGGTGTGCGCCTGTAGTCCCAGCTACTTGGGAGAATGAGACAGGAGGACCACTTGAGTCGAGGAGTTTGAGGCGCAGTAAGCTACAACGACGCTGCCACTGCACTCTACCCAGGGCGACAGTGAGACTCTGTCTCAAAAAAAAAAAAAGAATGCATTGTCAAAGTTGTAGGATGCTTAGAGCCTGATAACGTTTCAAAGTACAAACAACTGCCTCTTTCAAGGACAGCCATAACTGACTGGCAGCATGAATTAGCCTTCAACTTAACAGAACTTCATGCAATACTTCAAAAGGAAAATATAGGTGTTACCAGGAGACTGCCACAAGGCTTTTTTCCAAGAGTAAAATTATAAAAATTATAATGTAACCGGTGAATCTGGGCATCTGCAGATGTGCCAAATAACAAAAGTGCCAAGAAATTTAAAGGACTGATTCCAATCAGGCTGGAAAGTAAATCCAGGTTTTTGGGTATGAGACAACATGGTAGAGCGTGGTCTGTGTGCAGTGCCTGAACTCAGCATAATTCACGACACTAGGATGTGTCATGGTGGGAGCTACAATGGTGAGCAAGACATATCTTTATAGAGCTTGCAGAGGAGGCAACTAAGGAGCATACAAGCAATTACAATGTAGGGATAAGATTACCAATAGGGGAAGTGCAGAACACTGGAAGCACATGGGGTGGCTCCTAATCCAGTCTATGAGCCTAAGGGAAGTCTTCTTGAAGGAAATGTTCCAGAGAGAGGGTCCAGAACTGTGGTTAGAATATAGATTAGTGCAGGGGTGGGGAACTTGCTCATGTTGGAAGTCCACATTAATTTAGCTGTAATCAAATAAGGCTGCATTCAACAAATTTCAATTAGATATACTTTAAAATGTACATTATTTTGTAAGAATCTAACTACTATGTACTTAATAATTTCAAAAAATGAAACCTATTTGTTAATTTTAAAGTTAACTGACCTCTTAATGACTTTGTTGTATCTGCTTTCTGTTGGAAAGCATTTGAATATTTGGTTGCAGCATGGAGGTCTGCAATTTCAGTTCATCCTCTAGATGGGTATCTTGATTTGGGTTAGGTAGGCGAATGTAGATTCACAGCAATAAGTGGTTGAAAAGCAAGAAAGCATTTTTCAGGCATGTTGTCATGGGTATTCTACTGCATTTTTCCATATTTCAATTGGATCTTTATTAGCATCAAACAATGACTTTAAAATGTCATCTACTGAGAACGTAATCAATTCCATCTGTAATTCTTTAGGTGCCTTGGTGATATCAGCTAGGTGAGGCTGAAATGCTAATTTGAGTGTGATGTCATAATTCTCAAAGTCAGTGAATCTTTCATTGTATTCTCCAATTAATAGGTCTATAACAACTGGGTATTCTTCAAATGATTTGCATATATCTTCCTGCTTATCAGTGACCTTTGCTAACTGGGGAAAATACTCATCCGAAATTTCCTTTTGAAGAATTGTTTTCAAAAAAAGATAGCTTTTTTTCAAAATACTTGGATTTTTTGCCACATATCATATATAGACTTAGTTTTACCTTGCAAAGAAATATTCAAGTCATTTTGATTTGACATGGTATCACACAGAAATGCTACATTCCTATAGAAATCTTTCAATAATTTACATCGCTGATTCTGTTCTGCATAAAATTTAACTATCTGTTTTTGCAGAGATAAAATGTTGGCTAACACCTGTCCTTGCAATAACCAACGCACATTTAGAATGGTATGACAAAGCCACACTGAATACCTCATCCTTCAACTACAAAACAGGATGCCGTATTGCATTTGCTCAAATATAGTTAACAATACTTATAACATGTTGCAAAGTGTCACTTAAAATAGTAGCTTTAGCACAGAGATTTGCTGATGCAAGATACAAAGAAAAGAAATGAGAGCATCTGGATATGTTAATCCTTTTTTTAAAATCTGTGCAATAAACTCGTCATGTTTCTTGTCATGGAAGGTGCACCATCTGTATAATACACTCACTAAATTTACCAAGTTCAGTCCAACTTCACAACATTTATCTCCCAAGTTGTTGAATATTTCTATTCCCTGTGTTCTGTTCATAAGGGCGCCCAAAGCGAGTAACTCTTCATAGCAAAGAAAATCTTCTGTTATGACCTGAATGAAGTACAAAATCTGCACCAAGTCAGTAGTATCAGTTGTTCTTTGTAATGATTGAAAGAACAAGCACATGGAATGGGGCTCAGCCCGGGAGCTGACATTTATTAGGTGCTTAATACCTTTCTTCCTTTTTTTGGTACAATTCCTTGTTACTACCCATATCCAGTGTTTTGTCATAAAAATGCCTTACGATTTTACCGCAGTTTACAGTTTGCAAAGTATTTTTCCAAGACATTGTTTCTTATCAACAGCTCTGCCAGGTGTACCTTATTATGTTCATTTTAACGATAAGGACCTGAGGTCTAAAAGGTTGAATCGGTTCATCTACGAGTGAATCACTGTTACACAAGGGATTATTTTAACCCGTCTCCAGTTATTCCACCCACTGACCCACCCACCCACTCACTGTATACTCTGCTATCAATGCTTTTTCAGGGAGAAAAGGACTCAATGTTAATACCAGGAATGACAACCGAGACTACTGGCCCGATTTACGGAATTGTATACAGTTATAGTCGCCAGGCCCCAAGAATGGACGTCATCTCAGCACTGTCTCTAGAACCACTCCCTGTGGCTGGAATTTAGATGAGCTAAAGCAGGCTCCTATAATTATGATTTGATTGCCTTGGGCTACTCAACGGTTACGTTTTTTCCACAGCCAAAGTGATCTTTCTAAAGTGCAGTTAAGTCAGGTCACCACCACCTCTTTCTACTCTCCTGCTTATAAGCCCTTCGACTGCTTCAGCCCTCACGGAGGACAAACACTTTGGCCTGAAAAGATAAGAGTCCCTTGGGCAGCGGTGCTCGACTCTGACTCACCCGGGGAGCTGCACCTAAAATACCAATGGCCAGGTCCGCCACTGGAGATTTGAATTGGCTCGGGCTGGGCCCAGGCATCAGTACTCCAAGAGGCTGCTCCGGTGATTCCGCTGCGCAGCCAGGACCGAGAATCACTGCCTGGTAAGTGGGATGGCTGGGAGTGGGAAAGCAAATATGCAGTTTAACTTCTCCTCACAGCGCCTATTCTAGAGACCAATGAGGTAGGAAGGGATAGAAAGGCAGAAATAAAAGCTAGAAAGGAATAAAATGGGGGATAAGCTCGGGCCAGTTACTTCCAGGGAATCTCTACTGTGGCTTCAGGGAAGCGGTCACTGAGAACTGTTTTCTTAAACAGGAAAGTTCAGTGGAAGCCAACTTTCGACACACACACCACAGCGCGCCGCGTCCTCCAGGGAGGTCGGGTCATTTCACCCCATTTTACCTCACGTGACATGGGTCGGAGACGGTGAAGAGCCTTGGCCGACTCACACAAGTGGGGCGTCCTTTAAATTGAGGGTGAGCCTGGCGGGAAGCAGGGCGCAGAGTGTTGGGCCCGAAGCCTTTAAGCAAGGTCTCAGACCCCTGCGTCGAAGCTCAGAGGCCATCCAGCTGCCTTCCACCTCAGGCCTAGCGAGACCCCGGGCGGGAGAACCCGGGCCCACTTCCCGCTTTGAGCTGGAGGTCGGCACTGCTCGACCCGCCTCTGCATTAAAGGGACCTAGTTCCCGCCTTGGCGTGAGGGGGCGTGACAGTCTTGGCCTCACCTCCGGGAGGAAGGGGACCGGGGAGGAGCCCCTCCACTGCGGGCGACGGCGTTGCCTTGACGTCACTTCCCGGCGCCGCCACAAACGTCAGTACTGTGCGCAGATCGTCGCGGTGCGGTTGGCTCTTAAAGTTCGGTCTTAGTTTCCTTCTGAGAACCATGGAAAGTGACTTTTATCTACGTTACTACGTGGGTCACAAGGGCAAGTTCGGCCACGAGTTCCTGGAGTTTGAGTTCCGGCCCGACGGTAAAAGCAACCTCCCGCCCCCCGGGAGCAGAGACTAGGCCTGGGGGTGGGCGAATGGGGAGGCCGGGGGTTGGGAATGGGTGGGGTACTAAAGGAGGAAGGGACTGAGACCTGTGCAGCGCGAGTCTGGAAAGAACGCTCCTGTGTCCGCCCCACGGGGTCTTTCTATCCATGTGCAGGGGCTTCTGTTTAGTGACGTTTTTGACCAGAGTGCTTTCATTCAACAAACGTTGATTGAACGCCCACTTCGTGCCCAGCTCTGTTCCACTCTCTGGGGATACATCAGCGAAGATAGACAAGCTTCGCCTCTTGTGGAACTTGTGTTTTAGTGTTGGGAGCGATATTATAAATAAAAAGATAATTCTCAGTGATGAGTGGTCAGGAAATAAAATGATAGAATAATTGTTGGGTGGGCTGCTTTTAGAGAGGGTGGCCAATAGCGAGCTCTCTGGAGAAGGGATATTTGAACTGAACTCTGACAAGAAGGAGCCTGCTTTGTGAAGCTGGGGAGGAGCATTCCACGCAGAAGAGGAGCAGCAAGTGTCAAGGCTGAAGGACAGGAATGAGCTAGGCATGTTTCAGGTGGCCAGTGTGGCTGAAGCGTAGTGAGCTCCGGGGAGAATAGTAGGAGGTGATGTCGGATAGGCAAGTAGGAGCCTTGTAGGGTAGGTTTTTATAGACCATGGTAAAGAGTTTGGAAATGGAACGTTTTAAGCAGAGAAAAGATGTGATCTGTTCTTGATGAAGCATTCTAGCTATTGGGTGCAGAATGTGTAGGAGTGGAAACAGGACTACTGATTAGAAGATGGTTAAAGTTATCAAGACAAAAGGAATGTTGGTTGGGGCCGGGCGCGGTGGCTCACGCCTGTAATCCTAGCACTCTGGGAGGCCGAGGCGGGCGGATCGTTCTGAGCTCAGGAGTTCGAGACCAGCCTGAGCAAGAGCGAGACCCCGTCTCTACCAAAAATAGAAAGAAATTAATTGGACAGCTAAAAATATATAGAAAAAATTAGCCGGGCATGGTGGCGCGTGCCTGTAGTCCCGAGTGGGAGGCTGAGGCAGAAGGATTGCTTGAGCCCAGGAGTTTGAGGTTGCTGTGAGCTAGGCTGACTCCACGGCACTCGCCCCAGGCAAGAGAGTGAGACTCTGTCTCAAAAAAAAAAAAAAAAGAAATGTTGGTTGGGACTAGAGAAATAGTAGAAGTAGAGAGAAGGATTTAGGATACTGTTGGAGACAGAACCAATTGGACTTTTCTCATTGATAAGATTTGGGGAGAGGGCACTGTGTGTTAGGACGTGAAGTCCGTAGGTTGGGGGTGGGGGGGGCGCAGAATTCTCAGTGATTAGGATATCCAAAAGTAAAAGTTAATTTATTTTCCTGAGAAGGAAAGATAGAGATAGAGAGTTTGTGGCCAGGACACACAGGGGGAGGAAAGAAATGTCAGGCACCTAGGAAAGTTGCTTGGTCCTTTTAAAAGGTAGAAATGGCTTTTTTTCTTTGCTTCAGGGGACTGATAACAAAAGCAGCTGTGAAGCTGCTGTGTGGCTTTTTCTATTTCCCACATAACAGATTGATAGTAGAAATTAGTTTCTTCTTTCTTCTTGATAGTAGAAGGCATCTGATACTGTCTCTTCTTGAGGAAGCAGGGAAGTTCATGCACCTACTGTCCACTCAGGAACTTTTTTCAAGGCTGAGAAAGAACTCAGCGTTAACAAGTTAGGCCACATGTGTTTTAATTAAACTAAGGGTAGTTGTGTTGTGAGTTTATTTCTCTTACTTTCTGTTTGCTAGTTTATTTTCCTCTGTTAGATAGGTTATTAGTAAGACCACCTTTCACTATGGGGAAGGAAAGAAGAATCAACGATGACAGAAAACATCCTCTGAATGAGGGCATAAAGATGAATCTGATAAGCTCTGACAGTGAGGGAGATAGATTTGTAAACAGTGACAGTATATTGGGTGTTGTGGTAGAAAGAAACAGAGGGATCTCTGGGAGCAGAGAGAAGGCACCTAACCTAGCCTCAGGTCAGAGAAGCCTTCCTACATAAAATGACTTGGGGCCGGGGTGGAAAGTGTGGGAGTTGGTTAGGAGTCCAAGAAGAGTCAAGAAGGTCTTTTGGACATCATTAACAGCAAAGAGGCTGAAAAACCAAAAAGTACATGGGATGTTTCAGGCAGAAACCAAGTAGTTTGATTGACTCCAGCAGTGTGAGAGAGGAATAGTGCAAGAGTGAGGCCGGAAAGGCAGATGGGCTCAGATTAGCTATATGTCATGTTGAGGAGTTTGGAAAGCAGTGGGAAGCCATTGACAGTATCAAAGTATTATAGTAACCTAGTGAGATAGGTATGTTACTAAATCACCTTGTTCACTGTATGGAGAGTGGTACTGAAAGGGAAGAGACTTGAGACAGAGAAACAGTGCAGAACCTGTATGATAGGCCTTGACTGTTGAATTAAATTAATTTGGCTCTTTTTACATGTGTGTTTTCTAGTCTACAGGGAAAAAAAAATCATGTCTTCTATTTCCTTTTGTCTTTTCCTTTGTCCCCACCATATACTCAAATTAGCCTGTTGGATGTACATAATGCACAAAAAGAGCCTTGTGTACCAAATGTGCTCAGTGATAAAAGTGCAACTTTTCCATCACAGTAGTAGATCAGGGTGTTAACACAGTCACACAATAATATAAAAGAGCATCCTGTGGTTTTCAAAATGCCTTTACAACACATTTGAGCCTCAGGAGGTCCTGTGTGCAGGTAAGTTATCAATTACTATCCCTATTTTTAGCCCAGGACATTATCCTGCAAAAATGTGATTTGCAGGATGTGAGTCACAAAAGAGCCTGCCTGTGTTCTTTTACCACTATGAGCAGCCTTTTGCAAGAACCGTAGTTCAGTGTCAGCTGTATAGTTAGCTGTGAGGCTGTTTAATAGCCTGAAGTGAAGAACTGAAAGGCTAGTATTGTTGAAACACCAAAGGTATAAATACTAAATCTGTTAGACACTTGGAAGAGCAAGTTAGGATATATTTTAGGCAACACCTGACAGTAGGCTAGTGATGCTTTATTCATATGTTTTTATTGTACATTTGTTTTTTTCCCTCACAGGGAAATTGAGATATGCCAACAACAGCAATTACAAAAACGATGTCATGATCAGAAAAGAGGTATGAGCCTTCATTCACTAGAGTTCAGCCTTTTGTTTTGCATTGTTTCTGTTCTTTCTAGGAGTAGTATTGAAAGGTATAGAAGAGGGAAGCATATATATGTCTGTAGACAGCTTCTAGATTATTTCTCAAATTTTTTAGTTTGTATTTTCTTTTACATTGTTGAATCAGTTACTAGTAACCATTCGATGTCTGGCATGCCTTGCTTTGAACCCTGAATCTCCTGCTTACTAACCATGTGACCTTGGGCAAGTCCCCTGTCTGAACTTGGTAAGTTTTCTGTTTCTTCATCTGCAAAAACAAGGATAATAAAACCTACCCCTGCCCCCACTCCCAAGTGCTGTCATAGAATTAAATATGTTATACTTAAAGTGCTTGGTGTATTCCCTGGCATGTAGCACTCAATGGGGAGAGCTATTTAATTTGCATCTGAATGGGGAAAGGGAGCATAGGAAAGCAGTTAACATCACTGAATGCATGTTAGATGTCAGGCATGGCACTAGGTATTTTATATATATGATCTTATTTAAATTTGATTATCAGACCATGTCATGGGGGGTATTATATCCCCTTTACAAATAAGAAGATGAAGGCCCAGATATTAACTATGGGGCTTGTTTCAAGTCACCTCTGCTGGTACGAATTACAGCAGAAATTCAGACCCATGTCTGCCTCCCTAAAAGTCTACGTGCTCCATGCTGCTGTGATTTCTGCCACACACTTAAGGCTTTATCAAAGCTACTCTTTCCTTTTAACCACTTTGTCACATTTGAAAATGTTTTAACGGCCAATATATTTTCATATCATCATATTTAATTAGCTACTGATTTCATACTTATCCACACATGTCAGCATCCTCACTGCTAGTGTGCAAAACGTATTGTAAAAGACATATCTCTGCTCCTCAGAAGCATGTTATCTAGTTGAGAATAACCAGCACCATTTTGTGCTGCTATAACAAAATACCTGAGACTGGGTAATTTATAAGGAATAGAATTTTCTCACAGTTTTGGAGGCTAGGAAGTCCAAGATCAAGGTGCTGGTAGGTTTGGTTTCTGGTAAGGGCCCAGTCTCTGCTTCCAAGATAGTGCCTTGTTACTGCGTACTCCAGAGGGGACAAATACTGTGTCCTCAGAAGACAAAAGAGCAAAAAGGGGCCAGCTGGTTCCCTTGAGCTTTTTTATATGGCACTAATTCTATCCATGAGGGCTCTGCCCTCTTGGCCTAACCACCTCCTAAAGGCCTCACCTCTTAATACTGTTGAATTGGGGATTACATTTCAACATGAGTGTTAAAGGGGACATAAACATTCAAACCATAGCAGGGCACATTCACAGATCTGTTTGGGGTTCAGATGTGAGTTGGGTATGTGAACAGAGAGAAGGTCCATGTGAATAGGCTGTGCCAGGAGGTAGTAACAACTAGATGGGGCACTGGGGTGTAGTTATTGGGTACTTCTGACTCTGTCCCTCTCCTTTAGCATGTTGAGGTCAGGTGAATATCTTCTCACTTAAGGAGGTGCCAGAAATAAGTCTGTAGGAGCAGTGATTTTTATCTTCCATCACTTTCTGAGTCAGAGCACTGCTTCACGATACAACTTAAATTTTGTTTTTTAACTTGCTTTTAGGCTTATGTACATAAAAGCGTGATGGAGGAACTGAAGAGAATAATTGATGACAGTGAAATTACCAAAGAAGATGATGCTTTGTGGCCTCCTCCTGACCGAGTGGGCCGGCAGGTGAGTGTTTTATTGATTATCCTCTAGTGCAGAAATTTTACAAATAAGATAAGGTTTACTGCTCTGCATATGACAGTGAATCCACTTGTGTGTATGTGATATTGAGCCCTGCACAAAGCAGATTACCAGCACCTTGGTCTAGGGGTGGAGAACCTGCGGCCTTCTAATTTCAAGATTGTTCCTTTTTAACCACCAAAGGAGACAAGAAAGGCTCTATCTTTCTCTGCTGCACCCCTTTTAATAAAAGGATTTGTTCTGTAAAATTTGGATTCAGTCAAAGGGCTACACTTAAGGACCTAGAAGGCCACATGTGGCCTTAAAGGCTGCAGGTTCCTCCCATGCTGAGTGATACTGAGCCCACCTAGAGCCCACCCTGAATTTCTTCTTATGACAACCCCCTTTCTCAAACCTTTTGCTGCCCACCTCACTTACTGAGTAACCACTATGGACAAAGCATTGTGGGGATACAAAGCTAGAACAAAGTTATTTCAACACTCTAATAGAAGGAAAGTCATACAAGCAACTAAGTGTATTATGTAAATTCATGGCTTATATATTTATTCTGAAGACCATTTCGGTAATTAAAAAAATAAAAGCCACTGTCAAGTTTGATTGAATTAACAGAAAAGATATTTCCGCCATGACAGCTGCAATCCTAATCCAGACTTTTGATTGATTTCCTGTTTCTCCTCTTGTCCCATACCATCCATTTTTCCATCCTGAAGCCAGTGTGATCTTTAAAAATATTTGTTTGTGTATTCCACTGATTTAAATGGTCTAGAAGCTTCCCACTAAAAATCCAAATTCCCACCTTATCTTCTGTCATTCTCACAATCTTTCACTGTGTTCAAACCTTGTTAGCGTCATTTCTAATGAGGTGGGTCTTTCTTTAAGGCCTTTGAGTTTGCCACATTCTGCCTAGAATATTCTTCAACTCTATCCAAAACTATCTTTATTATTGAGGTCTTCAAAAGTTACTTTCTCGGTGATACTTTGCCTGTCCATCCAATCAAAGCCTCTCCCCATCATTTTAAAAAATAAGTTCTATTTTATTCTTAGTGGCATTTATTGTCTAAAATTGTCTAATTTGCTTTTCCTTACTTAATCTGTCTCCCTTCATCCCTCACCAAAATAGACACATACACAAATGCAAGCTCATTCAGTACAAGGATTTTACCAATTTTTTTCACTGCTGTCTCTCTAGTGACTAAAATAATGCCAGTGTATAGTAAAAGCTCAGTAATAATTATATTTATTAAATTAAAATGAAAACCCATATAAGCTCATACCTAATTAACCTCAAAATGATGGGCCAACCCTTCAAGAGTTTTTTTTAAAAATCACACCCTTTCCAGCCTGAGCAAGAGCGAGACCCCGTCTCTACTAAAAATAGAAAGAAATTAGCTGGACAACTAAAAATATATAGAAAAAATTAGCCAGGCATGGTGGCACATGCCTGTAGTCCCAGCTACTCGGGAGGCTGAGGCAGAAGGATTGCTTGAGCCCAGGAGTTTGAGGTTGCTGTGAGCTAGGCTGATAATAATATCAAATATATCTATTTTGCTTTATTACTTATAAAATTTTCAGTTCTGTTAACTTATTCAGTCATCACAACAATTCTGTGAAGAGGGCAAGGCATATTCCTTTACACCAGCAATAACCTATCGGATAGTGTAATTAAAAACAATCCCATCCATAATTACAACAAAAGTTATAAAGAACTTGGGAATATATTTAACAAGAAATACAAAACTTATGGAAAGGGCTTTATAGAAGGACTAAAATATGTATTGTTTTTACATATGGGAAGATTGAGTATTACAAAGATGTGGATTTTCAACAAAGTAATATATAAATTCATTCTAATTCAAATTTTAAAATCACAACAGGATTTTTTCCTAGATCCTGATAGAATGAGCATTAAATTCATGGAAGAAGGGCAAGAGTAGCCAAGGTAACACTGAAGATTTCTTATAAAGTTGTAGTCATGGCCAGGTGCGGTGACTCACGCCTGTAATCCTAGCACTCTGGGAGGCCGAGGCAGGTGGATCGCTTAAGGTCAGGAGTTGGAGACCAGCCTGAGCAAGAGTGAGACCCCGTCTCTACCAAAAAAAAATAGAAAGAAATGATCTGGACAACTAAATATATATATATATATATATATATATGTAAAAAATTAGCCAGGCATGGTGGCACATGCCTGTAGTCCCAGCTACTCGGGAGGCTGAGGCAGAAGGATTGCTTGAGCCCAGGAGTTTGAGGTTGCTGTGAGCTAGGCTGATGCCACGGCACTCACTCTAGCCAGGGTAACAAAGCGAGACTGTGTCTCAAAAAAAAAAAAAAAAAGTTGTAGTCATTTGTAGTGTGGTATTGCCTCAGGAATTAACAACTAAACTAATGGAACAAAATAGCCCAGAAACAAACTCATGAATATATGGAAATGTAGAACAGCATACTATAAGGTGGACTTTCAAGTTAATGGGAAAAGGATGAATTGTTTAACAAATTGTATCAGGATGATTGGCAGTAAATTTATGGAATATTTTAAATTAGACTGTTTATGGAAATAAAGAAAAATTTTAAAACATAGAAGAAAATATAGACTATCTTTTATTATTTCTAGGTAGAGAAGGAGTTTTTGAAACTCCAAGGGAAAAGATTGGTAAATTTTACTTCTTTAAATCTAAAAATTCTGTTTGATAAAAGACAGCAAGATAAAATTGAAAGACAAGCCACAGACTGAAAGAGGATATCTGCAAAACATAACTGGCAAGGGGTTTCCAGAATATATAAAGAACCGCAAATTAATAAAAAGACAACGTAGTGGTAGAATGGGCAAAGCTTATTAATAGACAATTTACAGAATTAAACAAGTGGCTAATAAACGTGAAAATTATAAAGGGAAAATTAGGACAATAGTGAGATAACATTTTGAACCCCTTAGAATAACAACAAAGAAAACCCACCATGTTTTAAAAAGGATATGAGAAAAAGGGGGTTCTTATGTTACTAGTGAAAATAAAATTAGTACAGCCATTTTAGGGAGCAATTTGGTGGTATCTGGCACGGTTTAAAATACTTATCCTACTTCTAGGAATTTTCCTGGAGACATTTTCACATATGTATGAGAAAATGCATAGAAGACTATTCTTGCCATGTTGTTTTTTTTTTTGAGACAGAGTCTCACTGTGTTGCCCAGGCTAGAGTGCCATCCTAGCTCACAGCAACCTCAAACTCGTGGGCTCAAGCTATCCTCCTGCCTCAGCCTCCCGAGTAGCTGGGACTACAGGCATGCGCCACCATGCCTGGCTAATTTTTTCTGTATGTTTTTAGTTGTCCAATTAATTTCTTTCTATTTTTAGTAGAGACGGGGTCTCGCTCTTGCTCAGGCTGGTTTCGAACTCCTGAGCTCAAACAATCCGCCCGCCTCGGCCTCCCAGAGAGCTAGTATTACAGACGTGAGCCACCGCGCCCGGCCGCCACGTTGTTTATAGTAACAAAAATTTGGGGCCAGGCACAGAGTGGCTCACGCCTGTAATCCTAGCACTCTAGGAGGCCCAGGTGGTGATGCGTGCCTATAGTCCCAGCTACTTGGGAGGCTGAGGCAGGAGGATTGATTTAAGCCCAGGAGTTTGAGGTTGCTGTGAGCTAGGCTGACGCCACGGCACTCTAGCCCGGGCAACAGAGTGAGGCTCTATCTCACAAAAAAAAAAAAGTAGAACTTCAGTCTTATTCAGTAGGGAAATGGAATACTCTAAAGCATTTAAAACTAGTGAACTAGATCTATGTAACTCAACATGGATAAATCTCAAAAACAATGTTGAATGAAAAAAGCAAAAAGATACATATAGTATGACCATTTATGTAAAATTTTTAAAACATATCGCCAAATCTAAAAACATGAGTGGAACGAATACACTCCAACTTCAGGGAATGCAGGAAAACGAACAGAATGGGAGGTGGACATAAACTTTATATTTTATTTCTTTAAAAAAAATCTGACACAAGTATGACAAAATATTAACATTTTTCAAATCTACGTATTGGGAACATTGGTCTCAGTGTTTTCTATTTTCTGTTTGATTATAAATCAAAAAGAAATAGGGAAGAAGAAGAAAAAATAAGCAGAGTTCACTAGAATCTAAGTTCCACAGAGCAGAGATCTTTTTTTGGTTTTGTTTGGTTTTACTGATCTGTCCCAAGTACTGAGAACAATACCTGGCACACAGTAGCCACCCCCACAGATATTTTTTGAAGGTTTATGGTACTCATGTCACTATTTAGAAATTGAGACCCAAGATCAAACAGCTAGGAAGTGACAAAGCTGGGATCAAAGCCAAGGTCTGGAACACTTTCCTTGTCCCATGTTGCCCAGAAAGATTAGATCCTTTTGTATTTTTAAAACACAGATCTAGGCCAGACACAGTGGCTCACGCCTGTAATCCTAGCACTCTAGGAGGCTGAGGCAGGAAGATCACTCAAGCTCAGGAGTTTGAGACCAGCCTGAGTGAAAGCAAGACCCTGTCTCTACTAAAAATGGAAAAAATTAGCAGGGTGTGGTGGCGCACGGCTGTTGTCCCCAGCTACTTGGGTGGCTGAGGGAGGAGGATTGCTTGAGTCCAGGAGTTTGATGTTGCACTGAGCTATGATCATGCCACTGCACTCTAGCTGGGGTGACAGCAAGACTCTGTCTCCAAAAAAAAAACCAACACAGATCTATCCGTGTTACACCACATTGTTAACAATGAAAACTTGTATACAAAATCGTATGTAAATTCTTCCAAATTTCAGAAATGGTAGAGCCTTGAGAATACAGCTTCCTCTACAAGTATGAGCTTATCAAGGGCTAAACTAGTATTTATCCGTTTCTAGTGCCTAGCACAGTTTAGGGCTTAGAGTGAACTGTCCTTGTTTTTGTGGCCATCTGTATTATTGTTTGTGATTTGGCAAATCATAAACCCTTCTCCTGTGTGCTTGAAGAATAATCCAATTCTATTCAACTTAGATTTTTTTTTTTTAATGTTTCTAGGAGCTTGAAATCGTCATTGGAGATGAACACATTTCTTTCACAACATCAAAAATTGGTTCCCTTATTGATGTCAATCAATCCAAGTAAGTGTACATGATACTTAATATGCAGTTGTGTCTGTTTTGGAGCAGATTGATAAGAAGTCTTTAACCAAACTGGAACAATTATGGGAAGATCTGGTGCAAGTGCAAAACAGAGGTGGCAGCTTTGTCCTTATTACGGAGGGATTCCAAATATTTTTGAAGGCTTGCTCCTACTACTTTTGGTGTTTCATTCAATCATTGCTACTAAGAGCTTCTTGGTGACACACACACATACAGATTAATGCATAGGAGCAGTCAGAACAGAAAATGAAATATGCCAAAATAAGCACTCAGGATAAACTGTAGAGTCTTCCCAGTCTGAACAGCCTTTTCAGTGTTGACCATTCAGACTGGCACATCTTAAATCTGACTTTGGTAAAACTTGAAATTTTTTAGGATCTAAGTATTAAAATTCATGTTGTCACTGGGGCAGATTATAAAGTTGAGACATGAATCTATATGCTACAAAGGATCCTTAGAATTTGGCAACCTCTTTGGTTCTTGTGTTTTGAGGATTTGGCATTAGATATGACTCACTTTTAGTAAATGTTGGGCATAATCGTCTTCCTTTGGACAGTCTCCTTGTTCTTAGCCAGTGATGCCACAGTAATCTTCAACCTCTTGGTCTTGCTTAGTACTACTACTTTGTCAAAAAGTTTTCCTAATTCTGAAAGTAATACACGCTCATTGTAGAAAATACAGGAAATGTAGAAAAGTAGAAAGGGGAAATTGTCCATAATCTTATGAATTAGACAACCATTATTATTAATATCTTAAAGTATTTTTTAGTCTTTGTACATTAAAAAACTTTTAAAAAGCACAAAAAATGTAGTTGAGATCAACAATCTTATTTTAATCATTCTTTTTCACGTAATATGATATAAACATTTCCCCATTTAAAAAACTCAGCATATTTAAATGATCTCATAATATTCCCTTTTAATATAGCCTTTCTTTCTTTATGGAACTTAATTGTTCGAAGTTTTAATGCTGTAAATACCTTTACAAAGAACATCTTGGTAGATGAATAATTAGGGTTATTAAATGGTATTTTTTGCCAATTTTTCTCAGCTTTTTAAACATTTTTTTTCTTCTTGTATTTTAGGGATCCAGAAGGCTTACGAGTATTTTATTATCTTGTCCAGGACCTGAAGTGTTTGGTCTTCAGTCTTATTGGATTACACTTCAAGATTAAACCAATCTAAGTTGAATATTGGTGTGGACATGAGGGGGGTGGGAGTAGTTTTTAATTACCATCATCAGGAAATTTTTGTGTATATCAGGGCAATATTTTTTATAAGCTATAAATGATTATCTTTAATAAATACATGATAAAATCCAATTTTTATTATTTTATAAAGACCCAAACATGTGAACTCATCTCAGTTGCTTTGTATAATAAAACACTAGTGTCCTATGTGAAGTATTGCCCAAAAGTGAAATCTACTCAACTCTCTAGATATAACTGCCATTTTACAGGAAATAAAAGAATAGAGAAATATGCTAAGAAAAATACAATGGGCATCAATCAGCAATTTCTAGAGGAAATTCCAGACCCAATGACCTGGTTTCTTCAGTACATTGCAAGGGAAACAGATGGATGTACAAAGAAGATTTAAGAGACATCTTAATCAATACGTTTGGACCCTATTTGGATCATGATTCAAAAACGTAAAATTGATACCATCAAGGAAATATTGAACACTATTTGATGATTTTAATGAAGTATTGTTAATTTTAAGCATGAAATATTGTGGTTGGGGTTTTTTAAATCACCTTTTATAAATACATCTATAGTTCAGTAGTGTGGGCAGGGGGATGCTTTGGTTTAGTACATTACAAGGGATAAAATGCCTGGTCTTAGAAAAGTTTTCCATTAATCCATTTTATAATCAGAATAACAACAGCCAGTAAGGACTGAAACCAAGTTGGTACAGATTGTGTGGAAATTCGTTCAGTAGGTAGATCTGTAGGAACTTTTTCTTTCTGCTAAACTGTATGGCTTCTTTAGGCAAATTGCTGATTGAACAGATTGCACCTACTGAAAGGACCTAGACCTTGATAAGCCTCATTTGACTGAAGGGAATTGATTAGCAACTCACATCCCTAAAGAATGGCCAGCTTGGGACAAGGTCCCAAGTATTCTGACTTCTGGACCAGTGCTGTTTCCACTACACTCTGCCTCCTTCAGAGACTATGGGACAAGTTAGGGGCAGCGCTGAGATGTCAGGATTCCTGAATCCAGTGCACCTCCTGCTATAAGGGTACTTGGGGCAATGAGGCAAAAAATAAAATCCATCCATCTGGTCTTCAAGTACTAAAAACAAAACAAAACTCCAAATGATAAATGACAATGAAGACCTCAGAAGATTGAGTCTTGGATGGGCTGTTTCTTCTAATGTTGATGTCCGCAGCTCCTGCATGGTCTCAGATGTACCTGGACAAGAGGCCAGGTAAAACAAGGTTCAGGAGGCGTATGATAGAAGGATAAGCAGGTGGGAGCCTGAAAAGAGCCAGCTGAAGGGGAGCATCTAGTCATAGGGACCAGGATGAGGACGTGGACACTTGGCAACTCTGAAGAGGGGCCTACAAACCAGGTGTCGTGGGCGAAACAGGATGGGGCAGTTTAGAGAACGCACCATCTCCGAATCAGCGAGGCTGCTCCTGGGCAGGGGGAACCGACGTGATCTGAGAAGTTTCACGGGGCAGGCAGGGACCAAGTGTGAGGGAAAGCAGAGTAGTGAAGGGCCAGGAACGAGAACTGAGGGGCCAGAGGATGCCTAGCAGAGGTTCCGGGCAGGGGCTGTCTTGTTCGCTTAGTGCTGGCACAAAATCGGCGTGCATTACCGATTCCTGAAGGCAGGCTTCAGCGGATCTGAGCACCGGTTAATGGCGGACTCAGTTGACATTCACATGTGTCAGCTTACCTGACTGGAAGAGCCCGGCTCATAGGGCAAGCAGCGGCGCGCGCGCCCCGCCCGCCCGAGGCCCGCACTGAGGGTGCGCAGACCGCGGCCGCCTTTTACGACGGACCGTAAAGTAGCGGCCGCAGCCAACGCTGGGCTGAGCGGGGACACTATGGGGGTGAGGGGAGGCAACCCGCCGCCGGGACATGGAGGGACAGGTGGCGAGGACCTGGGAGGCAGGAGCTCGCGCCAGGAGGGAATGAAGGGCGTGGGCTAGCGCCGAAGGAGGGGGAGGCGGAGCTCGTGCCTGGAGGGGCAGATATGGGTTAGGCGTAGGCTCGTGAGGCTGCGCAGGCGCGCTGACACAGTCGCTGTGGCCTTCCCTCTCCTCAGAAAATCGCGCTGCAGCTCAAAGCCACGCTGGAGAACGTCACCAAGCTCCGGCCAATGGGCGAGGACTTTCGGTGGTACCTGAAGGTGCGGCTGGAGGGCGGGGACCTTGGACGGGGAGAAGGGAGGAGCATCCGAGAGGCGGTGGACTTCGTAGGGGTTCCCGGCAGGGGCACTGGGGACCGGTCCCGGGAAGAGCTGGCCTGTTCTGATGTCAGTACTGAACGGGAGCTTTCTCTCCGGCCGCATGAGAACTATTTAACCAGACGTATTAAGTGTTCGGCTTTTTTTCTGGTTAGAATTTTAGGTTTGCTTTTTAAAGTTTATTGGTTCATCTTTAATTGGCAGTGTTGGAACTCTTCCTTTTGTAATTTTTCCCTCTGTTAAATATTTCATGGTCTTACTAAACAGACACTAAATGAAATACTACTTGAAGGGACCTTGTGATTACTTGATAAGGTGAATAATTTCTCCTTGGGTTTTATTTGTTGATTTGATATTATTTTTGTGAAGTAGGTCAATTTTGTGTATAATTCACCCTTCCCTATCCCACGCTGGTAAATCTGGTACCCTAGTGTCATAGTCTACAGAGGTCCTCCCCTTACCCAAACAGTTTGAGGTCCTTCACTATTCCGTATCTCAGAGTCTCTGCTTTATTTTCCTTCTACTCTAAATCACAGCCTTCTTCTGTACTTGTCAAAAGCCCTATCCTTCAAGAAGCACCTCTGCCCACTTTTATTTTCAAGTATTTTGAAGCTTGAGTGCCAGGGCTTATTTGGGGAATCAGTGTTTTTTGGCTTTAAGAAGCACAGAGTCTGCTGAAGGAAACAGAAAAATAGTAACACAGATTAACTAGTACCTGCGGGCCTGTGGGAATGCAAAGGAAGCTCCCAACCACGCAGAGTGGGTGGGGGGCCTGCTGCGGCCATTTCTGTACCACACAAGCCTTGAATCACCAGCCAGACGGGGCACTTCTGGGAGGGTGGATGTGCCAACATGAGAAACAGCTTGACCTGTCCTTTGCCCAGAGATTAGTCTGGTTGTGTCTTTGTTGGGGCTAGTTGTAAGGATGAAGTGAGATTGCCAACAAGAAGGTAGGTTATGGGCCTGCCCACCTCACACTGTTCTTTTCCTTCTCTCGGTGTCTGCCCAACTGAGCCGGCTTTTTTACTGATACTCTTTTTTCCTCCCAAGATGAAATGTGGCAACTGTGGTGAGATTTCAGAGAAGTGGCAGTACATCCGGCTGATGGTAACTGTTCCCTACCGCCAGCACACTCACAAACACATGTACACCTCTGGGCAGGAATTGGGGAAACTGGCCCTAATCTCTCTGGCCCTTTGGGCCCTGCTTTTTTGTGGTCTGGGAGGGTAGGCATCAGTGTGATCAGCACTGGGAACAACAGGCATCTTTGGGATGTGAAGCAGAGTTCAAAATTAAGGGGAAGCCCTTTCCTTATTCTCAGGAAGCCTCCCCAGGATTCTTGTCCTAGCAAGTCACTCCCCTCGCTGGGTCTTGCTCTCTTCAACTGGATAAGCAGTGGGACTGGATCTCTTCAGGACTCTAGCATTTAATTTATGTGTGACTAGAGGTTCTGTTTGTTCTTTGCCAGGACAGTGTGGCCCTGAAGGGTGGCCGTGGCAGTGCCTCCATGGTCCAGAAGTGCAAGCTGTGTGCACGGGAAAACTCCATTGGTAGGTCAGGCCAAGAATACTGAGCTCTGCGAGGCTGGCCCACAGCTTCCTGGTACTAGACCAAAAGTAGGCTCACATTATCTATGGTGGACTCAGGCCTAAGGTGCTGAAGCCTGTGCAGAGATTTCTTTTTCCTAGTGCCACATCTGGGTACCTGGGTGGGGCCAGGGTATGGACTGAAGTCAGCTTTGTCTTCTTTTTTATGTTTCAGACATTTTGAGCAGCACCATCAAGCCTTACAATGTAAGTTTGTGGCTGTGGTGGCAGGTGTGGTGGGGTTGAATCTAAACTGGGAGCTAGGAGGCCTGGGTTCTAGAATTACATCTGCACCGGAGTGACCTGCCACAGGACATTCATTCACATACTTAGTTTTCATTCACTCAGTTATTTATCTACCATACACTGAGTGCTTGGCAGGGAGAAGACTCTTGAGCGGGCTATTGCAGAACCTTATAAACTCTGGTTTGTGGGAGCTCAGCGGACTGCTGACCCAACCGAGCTGCTGTTTGCATCACTGAGAGCACTTGCCTTGTCTACATTTTAGGGGACTAGCAAGCTGCCTCTGAAACCATAGGTGGGATAGTCCTTGGGTGCATCCCGTATCATGACAGCGTGGATGTTACTGGAGAGTTGTTAGATACTGCATAACAAGCCCAAAGGCAAGGGAGAGTGTGTGTGCTTTGAGTCTGTTCGTTTAAAGAAGGGCAGTTATTTGTATTCACTCATTCCTTATTTGATATTTACTTAAAATGTCTGCATTGTGCCAAATTCTTGGCTTTGTCTTGAAGTTAAAGAGAGAAATTAAGTGAGGACTTGCCCTCAAGTAAATCATAATCTAGTGGAGTAGACCAGCAAATAAAAAGCCAACCAGGGCCCAACAGAGAAGTGCCTCACCGTATTAGACACATGGTTGATGTGCAGGAATTTATTTTAAGGTAAATGACAGGAAGAGAGTGAATGGGTATGGCACTTGGGGTCTTTGGGCCTGTGGGTCAAGTAGGCGTGAATTTCCTGGCTACCCACCCCCCAAGAGGTACCCTTCTACGTCCATATACTATGTCAAAGGCTCTAGGCCAGCCCTCTGCCCTCAAAGCATGGCAGATGATTAGCTAAAGGCTTTATGGCTGTGTGTACCAGGACTGTTTGGATGATCTGGAGAACTTGTAGCTTAATATTCTTGTTCATATTTTTGGTCTTGATAATTTTATCTATCATTTATTGAACATAGTGTCAAGTACTGTTCTGGGCACTTAACACGTATTTCACATTCTCACCGTAAACCTGTAGAGGTTTCCTCAGCCTTGTTTTGGGCCTGGAGGGGAAGAGAGGCAGAGCTCAGCCTCACATCCAGGCAGGCTGACCCCAGAATCCGCACTTTTTCTGCAGCAGCCATGTCCGTGGAAAGCCTCCTGGGGAGCAGGTGCCCAAGGCAGGCTTCTTGTAAGAAGGGGATGAGTTGTTCCCGGGTCCCATTCTAGGCTCACAGGGGCAGTAAGGGCCCACTTGGCAGGAAGGGCAGGGGCCCTGGGGTCATCCTGAGGGCACATTTGGGCTTAACCTCCTCAACACGCTTCCTTTCTAGGCTGAAGACAATGAGAAGTTCAAGACAATAGTAGAGTTTGAGTGCCGGGGCCTTGAACCAGTTGATTTCCAGCCCCAGGTGTGTGTCTTCCTGGGAAACCTGTATCTCTGGGGAAGGGGTGTATGAAGGGACAGCAGAAATGTGCTTCCCACAGAGATCATGGACTAGGGATGACTGTCACTTATTAAGTGGCCACTATACGCTGGGCACCATGCCTGTCACTTTTCTATGTTAACTCGTTTAATCCTCACAGTAACCCTATGAAGCTATTCATCCTATTTTTCAGATGAGGAAGGAACTTCAGAGGTTTTGCGACTTGCCCAGGGTCACACAGTAAGCGGTGGGGCTATAATTTGAACCCAGGTCTGTCTGACTCCAGAGCTAGTGCTCGTCCCCCTTTATTTTTTGCAGTTTTTCACCTCACACAGATCTGTGAGGTAGGCAGAAGAGAGAGTACTGTCATCCCCATTTCATAAATAAGAAAACTAAGGTCCAGAGAGGGGAGTGACATGCTCAGGTGCTTCAGCAAAGCAGTGGTAGCAGAAGACTTTACCCCACACCTCCTGCTTTCTGGTCCAGGGCTGTAATTTGGAGGAACCACTCTGGTCACAAGGAGGCTGCCAGGTCCTGGAAGCTCAGCAGTTACTCCAGAACGGCTGCTCACACTGCATCCCTGTCCTCTATCTCAAAGGCTTTGCAAGACCAGCAACCCAGCCAGCCCTCCATGCCAGCCCAGTGCCTCCTTTTCCCAAGACTAACTGCTGCCTTCTTGTCCCCTGCAGGCTGGGTTTGCTGCTGAGGGTGTGGAGTCAGGGACAGTGTTCAGTGACATTAATCTGCAGGAGAAGGTACGAAGTTTGGGGGCCTTACAAGGTGCTGTAGGGAACCTGGTGGGAATTACCCTTTCGGTGAACAAGGCTCAGCAATGGAAAGCTAACTCTGCATTTTTGTGCTTTTTGTTGGTGATTTTATTATTTAAATGGCCCAAGTGTAGTGCTGTCTATAGGCCTGAGCTATCTGGCTCTGTTCAGGGTCATATGTGTTCATGAATATCAGAGACAGAGCCTGAGCTGGGCCTTTTAAGTCCCAATTCTCTCCACGCTGTCCCTTTCTGCCTTGTGAGGCTAACATTGCCACTTTATTTCACAGGACTGGACTGACTATGATGAAAAGGCCCAGGAGTCTGTGGGAATCTACGAGGTCACCCACCAGTTTGTGAAGTGCTGAACTCTTCCTGCACACTTGCCTTGAAGGACTGAGAAGGGACAAAGTCCTCCAAGCAGCAGAGGCCACTGAGGCCAGTCCCCTCTTCCCTTGTCTCCTGGCAGCTGCACCAAACCTTCCCAGTCTGCATGCTGGGCTCTGTCAGAGCTTCCCAAGCCCCACCAATAAAGCCCCTGTCTGTGCCGAACTGGTGTGTGAAGGTGGAGTCAGGTAGCAGCCACTCCCTCCACAAATAAGTATTCACACTGGGGGTCTTTGCCTGCTTCCTGGCACCTTCTCTCAGATTTAAATCATGCACCTGGTCCAGTTTGTAAAATATGCAGGAGGACATGGTTCCTAAGATCTCTCTAGGTCGTGGGGAGTGAGGTCAGCCCAGATCAAAGGTATAAAAGCCAGTGGCACAAAGGGCAGCAGAGCCCATGGAATGATGCATGAGACCAGCAGTCCTCAGCCAAAATACTGCATTGACTAGCTTGGCTCTCAAGTAAACCCAGCCATCTCTGTTAGCTGATATCACTTCATATTCCGGAGCTAAAAGGGACTTTAGAGGTCAGCACTCCTGGCATGTATCTACTTTACAAAAGAGCAGATGGTCATCAGGTCTGTGCTCACTTGCTGTGATTGGACTCCCTGCCCATCAGGAGAGTCAGTGTGAAAGTTCTTTTTTATTCTAAGTCAGCCTCTGTGGTCCTTGTAGCTCCTCCTGCTCGTCCTGGTTTGTCCCCTTGTGACCACACTTGTATGTTCTTCTGCCCCCAGACAACCCTTGGGAGCTGTGAAGATAGCAGTCACAGCTGTTTAAGTCTCATGGGCCTGGTTCCCTGGTCAGAAGATCCCCCATGCAGTAGACAGAGTTGTTCAGTGCATACTAAGTCATGAGGGGATGCTCATGCCTTCACACTGGCGAACCCACCATTTGGAAAACCTGTTACCAGGGACCTTATTTCTCCAATGTCCCACTGGAGGCTGGAATTCTTTGGAAGCAAAAATTAGTTATCTTCGTTTCCCATTTCTGGGAGCGGGAAAGGGTCTGCCCACTTCCAAGCTTGTGAGGCTATAGGAAGGGGATCTTCAGGTTCTAGGCAAAGCTGGCCATGCCCAGGGTGCCAAGGAGGTGCCTACCTTGCCCCCTCTGAAGTCCGGCAGTCACATTGTGTTTCCTCTAGGTCCCCTGTGTTCCTGGCCCCCTAGGCTCTTGTGCATCTAACAGAGCAGGGATTCTTCAGTCCTCTCTCAGCCAGCAGGTCAGCCAGCCCTTGCCCAGTGGGTCCAGTCCACTGCCCACCTAGGAAGCAGATAATGTAGGGAACACTGGGCTGGGTAAGCAGCCTTTCTGGTTTTTAGTCTCGGTACCAGCAAGTGTGTGTTAAGCTCATAAAGGGCAAACACTAATGGGATCTCAAGGTTTTCTTTCTTTTTTTTTTTTTTTTTTTGAGACAGAGTCTCACTCTGTTGCCTAGGCTAGAGTGCCTTGGTGTCAGCTCAGCTCACAGCAACCTCAAACTTCTGGGCTCAAGCAATCCTCCTGCCTCAGCCTTCCGGGTAGCACGCAACACCGTGCCCAGCTAATTTTTTCTATTTTCAGTTATTTGGCTAATTTCTTTCTATTTATAGTAGAGACGGGGTCTCGCTCTTGCTCAGGCTGTTCTCAAACTCCTGAGCTCAAGCAGTCCTCCCGCCTCAGCCTCCCAGAGTGCTAGGATTACAGACATGAGCCACTGCGCCCGGCCTCAAGGTTTTCTTTATATTTTAAGTTATTTTCTCATCTTTCAGGAAATAGGGAGGGGAACCCAAGTAATCATTAATACATTAAAGGAAAAATGAAATAGATTATGTTAACAGATGCAAAAAAAGTATTCAGTAAAATTCAACACCCATTAACAACACAAGCCAGAGAACATAGCAAACTAGGAACAGGAGGGAACCACTTTTCAGCTCACAAAGGATACCTACAGAAAACAGCAAATGCCATGTTTAATAAATGATAAAATGTTTGAAAAATTCCATTCAAGATCAGGTGAGATGAGGATGCCCTCAAACACTGCTTCAATTCATCATGGTGCTGGAGGTCTCTAATAGTGCGGTAAGATTATAAAAATAAGAGGAAAGGATTGGAAAGGAAGAAACAACCCATTTTCCTCAGATTATGATTTTCCACTAGAAGAATCCAAAAGAATTAACAGGTGCTGGATTTAGGATCAATACACAGAAATCAAATGCATTTCAATGCACTAGCAACAAGCAGAGTACAAGAAAGACACTATTCGTAACAGTAACCAAAAAATAGCCCAGAAAGTATTTATAACTAGGAATTAACCTAGCAGAGATTTGTGACCTTAATGGAGAAAACTAAAACTTTAGTGAAACTTGTTAAAGCCTAAATAAATGGAGACCTATACTATTATTGGTGGATAGGAAGACTTCATATTACAAAGGTGCTCATTTCTAACAATTGTATTTATAAATTAAATTCCAGTAGAAATCTCAACTTTTTAAAATAGAACTTAAGTTGATTCTGAAATCTGTGTAAGAGAGTAGACTTCCCCTACCCAATATCAGAATGTGCATAAGGCAGTGGCAATTAAGACACATGGTATTGTCACTGTGATACACAAATTGACCAGTGGGACAATAGATAAACAGACCCATTTATGTATGAAAACTGATTAATGGCAGGTGATGTTGCAGATCAGTGGGGTAATTACTATCCACCCTTGCACATGTAAAATGGGGATAATTTTTGCCCATTGTAGAGTTGAGGAGATCAAATCAACCGGTGCATAGGGAAGAGCTTACAAATGGTTGAGTTCTGTACAAATGTGCAAAATGTGTGTGAACCCTAACTGGGCTAAGGATCAATAGTTAAGTGTCTTTGTCATCCTAGCTACCACCCTGGAACCCTTCCTAACCTGAATCTGAGACAAGAGGGAAGGCTGAGGGGAGTTGTTAGTATGAATGCTGAGCACTGGGACAGGCCAGTAGGAGAGGCCCCCTGAAGAAGCTCCATGCACCCAACGTTCACCATGACCATAAGCACAAGGTATAGTTTTTTCAGCCCTGCAAGATACAGTTGGTCCGAAGACCAGTGCTGTGGGGAACTCGCTCTTCAGATGAGGTCAGTACTTCAGTAAGGACTGGAAGCACAGCAGTAGATAGCACAGAGCAGTAGAAGAACACAGATTAAGCTTCAACTATGTGCCAGGTGCTTTGCCTATATTGTTACAGTGAATCATCATAACATCCCCATGCTATAGTAATTATCCCCATTTTGCCAAGACGAGTTCATGGACAGAGAGGCATAATAACTTGCCTATGGTCATCAAGTGAGGAAGAGGTGGAACCAGGATACAAGTTAGCTATTCATGAATGAGAGCTGCAGTATGTTTATGTACATCGGCAGCCACCAGGGGTCTCTCTCTGACCAAACTACAGCATACAGAGGCCCTGGTACCTGCTGGCATTCACTAAATACCACTGAGGATAGGTGGCGTCAACTAAGAACACATGCAGGTATGTTTTCATGAATTTTAAGGATTAAATGGGGTAATGCTTTCTATGAGTTGTACGGAGGATTAAATGAGGCAATGCTTTGTGACTGACTCACACCAGAATCCAAATCCCAGCCATCCACTAACTCACTGGGAAGCCACTGGGAATGCAATAAAAGTAAACATAAACAAAACCCCTTCCTTTTCAAAAAACAAAACACAGCATAACAAAAAACACCCTTCCTTTCATGTTACAGCAGTGTTCTAACAATAACTTGGGAAGGAAAAAATTCCATGTTCACTCAATGTAGAAGTTTCTACAACTGCAAAATGTAAAGAGTGATGTCATCTACCTGAGGCCAGCCATACCTAGCACATGAGTTTCAACTAATTAAAATAAATACGCACCAATTATAATTGACGTGTATAATCTTTTGGCTGGAAGAATAGTAAGATAGCACTCCCTAAATCCATACAAAGAGGCTTCCTTACCACAGGACTGTTAGAATCAAGCAGCAGCAGTTTACTCTTCAGGAAAATTAAGAGTATTTTTAAATAGATGGTGTCCCAGGAGAGGGGCAAATTGATAGGACGAAACAGCAATCCCACCATCACATGAAGCCAGAAGCCAATGGGAACTTACTGAACTTACTGTTGGAAAGCTCTTTGTGGGGATTAGGAAATTTGGTTAAAAAAATTAAGAGAAGTACTCTTCAAGCAAAAATTAAATTTTATTTTTGCTTAAACAATAGTACACCTGAGTTATTTTTCCAAATCCTACCTCCTGATCAAATGCCCTTAAAATTGAAATCTCTCATTATCTTCAGTTATTATCTAGTCCCACTCAGAAATTACATGTTTAGCTTTAAACCATGATTTTAAAGCTAAGGCCTGCAGCACCAGTTGCTCAGGCACCTCATGATTAGTTTTATTAGTCACAGAATAGCACCTATTGGCTACATGGGCTGCAATATTCATGACGAAGTGATGGTGGCTTTGCACCCACCCAGAAGCTAAGTTTTAATGGGTTTGCCTTCTAAGGCATCAAACATGTCCCCTAAGGCCTTCTCCACACATTGGAGAAACTCCCGGGCATTGCGGCCTGGGTAGGAAGAGACATTGCAGCCTATCCAATTGTCATGAACAGCATACCCTATGCCAAAGCCATCGGGGACCACAGGGGCAAAGCCACCAATGCTCACAGCTGGGCTGGTCAGTGTGCTCGTAGACAGGATGTTGTGGTTTATCTGTCTGTATGCAGGGTCCAGGTAGAGCTCGGGAAGGGCAATCCCTTTGGCTGCTGCCAGGTACCGCAGAGCAAACAAGTGTCGGTCAAAGCCCTGGCCTGTCAGAGACAAAACGGAAAACAGTGTCTCAGAATTTCAGAACTGAACAGGACCTTAGGAAAACCTCCCACCCATAGTAGGAATCCCCTTAATACCATCCTTAAGGGTCAAAGAAGGGTCTGTCTACCTCTGTATTCATACCCCAGCTCGTTAACCTTCAGCTCATTCTAGAATACTTTTAATTATTTTAAATATGTATTGTTATGTTACGTTATATTTAAAAACAGCTGTCAACAGCTGAGCTAAAAATGAGCCTAAAATGAAAGTATGATTTGAAAAATTCAATCAAATAGTCGAGACAGGGCCGGGCGCGGTGGCTCATGCCTATAATCCTAGCACTCTGGGAGGCGGAGGCGGGTGGATCATTTGAGCTCAGGAGTTCGAAACTAGCCTGAGCAAGAGCGAGACCCCGTC